TGAGTGCTCCCACGACCGGAGGGCTGTCCCCTCTCGGGGCTGGGACCATCCAGTCCGAGTCTGCTTCAACTGCAATAAAAAGCCCGGTGACCTTTAACCCCAGCTCCCTCTCCGACTCCTTCACAATTCCTTAGGTTCTCAGGGTTAGAAACAGAAGTCTCACTGAGGTAGGCCCTTCTGGCACCTGTTGGGTGTGTGTGCTCTCCTTTCACATCCCTGGGCCACTTTCTGTCAGTGCAGGTGAGCCTGGCTGTAGACCGGAAGGCATGAATCACCTCAGGGCAGAGGACCGAGCAGCTCTCAGTAAAGGAGAATGGACCCGAGTCCATTGCATTTATTTCAGTTAAAAATAATAAATCTATCTACCTATATCTCCATATATCCATATAGAGGGGATTTGGAGTGACCAAGGCCGCTTCTGCTTTGAAGACTTAGCCCGGTGTGTCCCCAGCACAGGGGTCAGGTGGCCTTGGGAGTCAGTCTTCCTCCTGAAGCCAGCCAGGTCGAGTCACCTTTGCGGCTTCTCCCCGAGCTGGGCCGAGTGTTTCCTGCCTTCCCTCTCCTGCTCCCAGGCTGTGAGGATGGGTGCCTGGGTTTGAACCTCCTCTTGCCTGAAGCAGCCTAGAGGGGTTCCACTAGGCTTTCCCAGCGTGAGCTCTGGTCCTTGGTTCCAGCCTGTTCTAGGCAGAGATCATCCAGCTTGGTGTGTCGAGGGTCAGAGGAGTAGGGCCTTGAGACATAAAAAGTCAAAATGCAGGTGCTTGTGGCCACTGCAGTTGGGGTGTCCAGGAGGAAGTAGGTCTCTCTAGCAGGATGTCTGCTCCTTGATGCTTCTGTCTCCAAGAGGCCATCTTAGAAGGCCACACCCTGCACCTGAGTCAGCCCAACACCTCCCCCTTAGCCCCTGGAGTCCCAACCTGCTTCTGAGTGTCACACTAGAATTTTTATTACTCCAAGTGTCTTATTCTTTGTTTCCAGACATACAACCCCTCTGTCTATTAGAGGGAGGAAGGGGGTCATGAGAAACCTTCCAGGGAAACAGCACAGAATGGACAGTTGGTTGTGTGTTTTTTAAATATATATATAAATATATATATATAAATATTTCAACAGATCATAAGGAAAAAATTCTCTTTAGTTCTTGCAAGAGAAACCAAATGAACCAATGTTTCTCGACAAGAGCTTGGACATACCGATCATGACTGGAAAGACTGTTTTGCCGAACTCCCGTCGGGGTGGAGTTTATCTTCAGTGGCCAAAAAAGAAGAAGTAAAGCAACACCGTTATGGATTGAACTGATGAGTGGGTGGAGCCTTGGGGAGGTCTGTGGGCAGTCATTTTTGGGCTGTGTATCTGCGTGACCTGTTCCTCTCTGCCTCCCGAGGCCCTCCTCTAGAGCTGTGTCATCCACTCACCACCATAAAGGAATCTTCCTGCTGAACATGGCTCTGTGTCGGCTCTTTTTTGCTCTCGCATCTCTTTTCTAGTTGATAGACGGTGGCTAGCAGCGCAGAAGACATGCCTAAGAAAGGAAGTGCTTTACGTACAGTACTTTGTCGTCTTATTATTTGGACAGGAGCCTTTTTAGAACATGGGTACCATAAGACCATTTATAGTCACACACACACACACACACACACACACACACACACACACACACACACACACACACACACACACGATGGAAAGTCTGCTGATATGTCAGGCTGGTCTTGAACTCAAGAGCTCAAGAGATCCTTCTGCCTCAGCTTCCCAAGTAGCTGGGACTTCAAAAGTGTGTCACCGCAATAGCTTAGAGTGGGTTTTAGCCAACCTCCTAACAGTTGACAGTCTCCCCCAGGTCCTCCAACCCAGGTTTCATGTACGCAAGCGCGAACTCTAACCTCTGCTCATCCTTGCCTCCACCTTCTAAGTGCTCAGATTACAGGTGTGCACCACCATGCCTGGTTTACGTGGCGTTGGCCTTCCTGCACACTAGACAAGCACTCTACCAATCGAACTACATCCCTCATCCTCATTTTCCAGGTCAGTGTCTAGCATGCTCCACATTAGTTTGCCAAGTGGGGCCTGATCTTTTATGATTTCTGTAATATCCCTTCACTTAGAGAAGGCAAATTATGGTCTAGGAATTCTTAGTAGTGACCAGAGGACTCTGAGAGTTCTTCCTCAGACTGTCACGGAGGGACAGCTGCAGCCAGGCCAGATGGGGCCGGCTTGCTGAGTTAGGTGCTTTGTAACTTGGTGTGGTTTGGGCATTCATTACTCCTTATGTGTAACTTGGATGTTTTAAACAGATGTCAGTGATCGGTGGAGGCAGTGGAGATGTCTGTGGTGCTGGGCCTCAGTGGGTCTTGTATGTTCTAGGCATGTGCTTACCACTTCAATGCCTGTGTATTGTAATTTCCAAAACTGTATAGTGGAAATTAATGAGGCAGTTCCACGTAGTTTACCTGGTAGTCAAAAGAGGTTTATTTTGGGTCAACCTGCAGCAAGCAAAGGGGTCGGTTACAGGATCCAGGAGAGGCGAGGCGCAGTCCAATGCGGTTCTCAGGAGAACTCTGACTTGGTCTGCAGTCCAGCATCCAGGATCACAAGGTAGCCACGAGAGCAAGCACGTTCGCATCTCAGGTCTTAAGGGGTCCCCGTCTCGGCCACGCCCCGGGCAGGGGCAGGTACCTAGCACCTAGCAGTTACCTGTGAAGCACAGACACCCACCCCTACAGCTCTGCTTCCTGCCTTGTCACCCATCATGTCCCTCTGTGACTGCTGACACTCCGGGCTGCAGTTTTCACTTCCTGACTCTTCCTTCATCTCCATTTTTTCCTGCTCCTTCTCCTTTATTTTGGGAGGGCTTGGGGAAGAGAGATGAAAACTGGCTGTAGAAGACCCTGTTCTGTCATTGCTGGGGTACTTGAATGTGAATCCCACTAACCACGAGGTGGGGGCATTTCTAGCACCTATTTCCGGCTCTTATAGAAATCTCACAGGAAAATCTGCAAACGTTTTTCTTCATGCTATTCAGTCCAGTGGAGGAGAGGAAGTTCACTGGCAAAAAGGGGCTCTTCTTGGCCAAAAGAAAAAAAAAATATATATATTGACTCCCACCCTCAGCTAGGGAGGGGGTAGGTAGCTAAATGCAGGCTGAAAACGGGGCCTGGAGAAGTTTCCTCAACTGTCAAACCTAAGGGCTTGGTTAATTTTCTCCAGCTGGATGCTGCAAATCTAACCAGCACCCTGATTAAGAAACAGCCTGGCTGTCCTCCAGGAACACCTCGTCCCTCTCCTCAGAGAACTCTCCGGGCACCAGTTGCACAGGTCACTTCCTCACCAGGTCCTTCATACAGGCTTTAATAACTGCACAGAACCGTGAAGACGGCTGTTCAACATGAGCACTGGGATTCCAGGAGGTCTCCTAAGTCATTCTAAGCGGTCTCCTAAGCAGTGGCCGCTGGGATCCTTATAGCTCTCTCGGCTTTCTCAGCGGGTAGGCTTACTGGGAGTTGGAAAACAACCATTGAGTTGCCTTATGGTACAGCCAGGCATTGTGTGAGCTTTGGCCGTGCTGCTCACCGGCCTGGAAGGTAGGTGTTGGTGCTCATGGTTTTACAGCTGCTGCCTGTGGGCTGAGGTTTGGAAGTGCAGAGCCTCTTGGTGTCAGCATCCGAGCCCTTCGAGGTGCCAAAGCGCTTCCGTTTTCCTTCCCTGGGCTGTGAATTTCCAGTAAGGTCAGTACCTTTCCCTTAAGCGGACCATTTACAAGCCGCTCTCCATTATGATCAGGGCTTGGCGGTCTAACCTCCCCCTTTGTTCTGAAGTCATGGCACGTGACAACAGTAATACTTCTCTGTGCCAGCACCTCGCTCGGAGGTTATACAGATTGTTCTTGTTGGGAACACAGAGCCAGGTTTCCAGGTGTTAAAAAAAAATGTCCCGTTGAAATGGTAATTGTGCAACCGTGTTTGCATCTCCAACTTTGGGAGGCAATTGAATCTGTGCCTGTGGCTTGCATATCCTCATTAATGGCACTGGTTTGTTACTGTTTATAACGTTCACTGTATATAATCCACCCTTGTTGAGCGTCTGCTGCCGCATTCCCTCATGTATTGGTCATAGATCCAGGTACTACGTGTGCCCAGAGCAGTCGGATGGTTTGTGGTCAACAGAACACTGGTTGCTTGGTGCTGAACGATCTCAGCCACTGCCATACTTGACACTGCTCCTTTCTCCTGACACCCCCATCCTCACAGTCTGTGAACAAAAGAGCCTGTATTTCCCAGGCTGTCTTTCATCTCTGTGTCTTTGCTCAGGTTATGGCCTCTGAAGAGGGCAGTTTAGAACTGCAGCAGCTTTTTACCTGAAGCCAGTGCCTCCTGCTAGTTGAGGACATGCTGTACCACTGAGCCTGGACCCTGGTAAGATGACGTTGATGCAAATTACATTAACTATTTATTCCCTCTTCTTTATGAATTGTTACAAGGATCAAATAAAATGTGAGATAGTCAGAATAGTAGATAGGTCATATTCTCTATATAAGTGATATTAGGACCCCTGAGGAAAAAGATGAATACTCATTGGTTAATTGCTTAATTGGGGAACTCAGTGCCTAACAGGGATATTTTTGACACAAATAGAATAGTCATTGGGTCAGAGAGCTGTGTTCCAATAAAGGCCATGGCCTCTGGTCACAGATACTCATAGTCCCAACAGGAACGGAGCCAGAGGACCATCAATCCCACCCCACTGCTCCGTTGCCCTCTGCTTTCCCACTGAGTGCTGGGGACAATGAGGCTGGAGAGCCTAGAGAGCAGCCTCCTGGAGCAGGAGCAGAGTGGGGCAGAGCGGTATAGGAGGGCAACCTGAAGGTCTCCAGCAAGCTAATGAGGCTGGTCTTAGGGTCTCTTTCTCCCATTGGCCAGCTCAGTAGGGATTTCCTTGGGCAATCTGATCCTTCACCAGCTTAAGGGATCAAGATCTGAATCAGATGCAGAAACAACATTGCACATGCTTCTTTTTACTTTATTGGTTGGTAGAAAGGATTTTAACACTATAAATATTTCATAAACTGCAGCTCCAAGATTGCAAAAAAGTCAAAGCCAAATGTGGCCTTGGGCTTTAGAGCTGACATTCAAGTCACTGTAACAGAAGCGGCTGTCCCTTACACATCCTGAAGACTCAAGAAAGGTGTGTTCAGGACTGTTTAGAGCCACAGCACTCGAAGAGATCCGCCGTCCCTTCCAATGCCTGTGCATGGTAACAGAAGAATCCAGGACTTATTGGCATCGTCTGAGAAGGCAATGTAAATGGCTTCAATGCTGGCCCTGAATCCGCAGACACAAAGCCATGGCCTGCTGCTCCCTCTGCACCCGATGCCTTTCTCCAGGGTAGATGAGGCAGCTCTTCCTGGGGCTGCAGCACTGACCACTCAGTCTCCACCATGGATGGTTCCTGGTGTCAGCAGTAGCTTTAATTAATTTTGCTTTGCCAATGAATGGGGGAAATGTCTATGGAATTCAATAGGAAAAGCCAAGAAGTACCTCCTAGGAAAAGGCCTTTCATGTCCCCGAACCCACAATTTAACTGCCACTTTACTGAACTTATTCCACATAAACTACTTGGAAAAAAATTGCATTTTTTGTTTTATGTATATGGGTGTTTTGCCTGCATGTTATGTCTGTACCACATGCATGCCTGGTGCTAAGGCCAGAAGAGGGTATTGGATTCTGGAACTGGAATTGAAGACGGCTGTAAGCTGCCATGTAGGTGCTGGGAATTGAACCTGGTCCTCTGGAAGAGCAACCAATGCTCTTAACAGCTGAGTCATTATCCAGCCCCCCCATGTCAACCACTTTGCACTGCCCTCAAGCTGAACAACACCAACTGAATACATCAGGCGCCACTTAAAAAGTCCTTGTTAGAAACTGAAGGGAGCTGCCATTCACTCCCACCTGCCTTCCTCCAGATTGCCTGGACACAATGAGCTGTAGGAAAAACAGTAAAGGTCCTGCTGGACAGCCATGAGCAGCCCTGGGGCTCCCTGGGGGCCCCCAAGGCGAGGAGAAAAGGCCACACTAGGAATGTTGGCTTTGGAGGTGGGGTATGGGGAAGGTATGGTTCTGAGCAGGTGGGCATCATGGAGGCTCCAGATTCTTGTGTAGCAGTCTTGGCCCACTAAGAAAGAGGGAAGACGACACAGAGGTTAGAGAATGCAAAGAAAGTTAGGGCATGTAGACAAGGCTTCTTAGGACCTCCCAGGGCCAAACACAAACCCACTGGTGGAAGGTGTTTCTGCTAATATAGTTCTTAAAATTAAGACCATGGGTTGGTCTGTTGCTCCAGAACCCGAACTAGCCGCAGCTGTTCAAAGTGACAAGGATGAACTGGCTGGCTGTGACACAGCAGTGGCTCAGTCGGCACCTGGCTCACGGCTAGGGACTCTTCTCAAGCGGGAGTCTAGCTGATCTAGAGTCCAGGCAGCTGGGTTCCTTTTGATGAGCTAGCCAGGAAGATCTCTCAACTTCGTTACATCCTGGCAGAGCAGATGCCAGCTATTTCTGGTTGAAGTTAAAGTCTGCAGGACTCCTAGTTCTGAGTACTGTGGCACGCGACACCATGGATTGTGACAGCCCAGATGCTCCATGCTCCTAGAGGTCTGTGGGGTTTCAGCAATCAGATTTCAGTTGAGTACTTGGTGACCGTAGGCCCACACTTGGAGCATGGGGTTTGCTACTGCAGCTGTGCAGACCCCGTGCCTGCCTCTCAGCATGGCTGATCTTTTGCCTGCTATCCAGCACATGAGAACTCTCGAGAGACTCAGGACCGTCACTGTAGGAGCAAGCCCCGTGCTGGCGTTGAAGACGCTTGAGTACAGCTAAAGCTTCAGCACAGTATTGCTGCTTGGCCCCCAGGATTCTAACAGGGAATGAGTACTGTCTGTAGGGACATTAGCCCAGAGGAGGCCTCAGGAAGACCTAGAACATGTCAAGGGCCGACTGTTCCATGTGTAGAAACACTGATTTTATGTTGTGGCCTGGACATAGTACGATCTGTAGTTACTTTAATTCCCTCAGGGCTCAGTGGCCAGACAGCTGCTGCTGCTCCTCTGTAGATCATGGGTAATGTGAAAGGGCCAGGATCCAAGCACTTCAGTACCCTTAATTTCTCAGCATCTTCTGAAGGGAGGAATGTGAGCAGAATGGGCAGCTTTTAGGTAAGATTGGTGCCTGATGGAATCCTGTGACTCCAAGAGGCCTGACCTCCAGTCCAACTCCGTCCCCAGCTGCTGTATTACTGATCATCACCTGCCTGTTTCTGAGGTGATGCTGGCAGTGGCCCAGAATTCCCGTTATTTAGCCCTAGTCTGACCACCTTTTCCCTCTGCTGTGTAGGATGTGAGAGCCCTCACAGGCAGCATTGATGGACGGACCTCCCCTTCCCCACACACCTGCCACCAGGATCCCTTCCTCCTCATGCAGATGCAGGGGCAGGTAGGCATACTCATTCACATGACCTTCATACTGCTGCACACAGTTGGTGGCCCTCAGGTCCCACAACTTGATCTGGGGGAAGAAGCACAAAGGGTTACTTGGAAGGGTCTAGCAGGAACTCTGTGACTACCAGGTATGAAGCTGCAAGGGTGGAGTGAGGTGGTACTATGTTCCCCGAAATATTGTGCACCCTAATAAACTTATCTGGGGTCAGAGACAGAACAGCCACAATATTAAACATAGAGGATAGGCAGTGGTAGCACACGCCTTTAATCTTAGCATTCCAGAGGCAGAAATCCATGTGTTCAAGGATACAGCCAAGCATGGTGACTCACACCTTTAATCCCAGGGAGTGAGACAGAAAGCAGAAAGATATATAAGGTGTGAGGACCAGAAACTAGAAGCATTTGGCTGGTTAAGCTTTTAGGTTTTGAGCAGCACAGTTCAGCTGAGAGCCATTTGGATATGAGGACACAGAGGCTTCCAGTCTGAGGAAACAAGATCAGCTGAGAAGTTGGCCAGGTGAGGTTAGCTGTGGCTTGTTCTGCTTCTCTGATCTCCCAGTGTTCACCCCAATACTTGGCTCCAGGTTTGTTTTATTAATAAGAACTTTTAAGATTCATGCTACATTTGGAGTGATCTCCAGTGGCCTTTTCTGATTATGGAGACTGATGCCGTTAACTCCTAAGCTTGAGTCCATCAAAATCACAGACCCAGAGGCCCTTCTGCACTTGTATCTAGGCAAGATTAAGCTCATGTGGAGTATCAAAAGAACTTCAAGATAGGCCCTACCCTGGTGTCTTGGTACCGGGGTCTCTTACAGGCCTGCACCCTACCCTTCTGAGGCCTGAAGTCAGGATCTCCCACCTTTCCAGCCATGTCTGATGCCATCAGGTATTGCTCTTCCTTGAGGACCCGCACAGAGGTCACTGCTGAGTCATGGAAGATGCGGGTGGCCTTCCAGCCCTTGGCTTGACTTGGAGAACGTAGGTCAATGGCAAAGATCTCCCCAGAACGACAGCCATTAAAAAGTAAAGGAGCCTGTGGAGGGAGGGGCAGCACCCAGTTTTTACCACCGGCCCCTAAGAATGGAAGGGTATGCCCTGGCATTAGGGTTGGTATGAGTTTGGGTCTCAATGGACTTAGAAGGAAGTCTGAGTTCTTATAAGAGGTTGAAGACATGGACCCTGTGTGTTCTCCAGCGTCCACCCTGTGGTGAGCTTGTAGGTGCTTAGAGGGAGCACCACTGCCCCTTAGGCGTCCTTTCTTTTTTTCGAGATAGGGTTTCCCTGTGTAGCCCTGGCTGTCCTGGAACTCGCTCTATAGACCAGGCTGGCCTCGAACTCAGAGATCCACCAGTTCAAGGCGGAGATTCCTCGAGATTCTGTCTCAAGGAAATGAAACCAAACCAAAACAACTAACCTATAAAAACCCCAAGCAAACAAAGTGCCCACCGATCATTCCCGTGCTTTTCTTCTTGTAGAAGAGGCGGCAGCCCAGATGCTACGCCAGGGAAATCCAGTTCCACTCCCACAAACATTTTCACTGTGGGGACCTTCTGTTATACCCTTCCCGATCCAACCAACCTTGACTGCAAATTGCTGAGCCAGGACATCACTGTTGGTCCCATATGACTGCCGGTGTCCTGTCACCGCATTGGTCAGTAAGACCCTCCGAGACAAACCTGGTGGAGACAAGAAATGGGTCCCTGAGACCAGGGATGCTGGCAGTCTGGGGAAAGGAACTGCTGGGTGGACCTCCAGGTCTGTGGAGTTCTTTACTTGACACCCAGGGATGTGGCCATGGCTCACCGGTACTGAAGCAGTTATTTGCCTGGATGTTCAGGGACCAGGCACAGGACCAGGCACCAGGGATCTGGAAACTGCAGAGCATGCCAGGCTGGTCGGTACCTGCTAAGAGAAACAAAGGGAAACCGGGCAGCCTTCTAGGCCCAGGAACACCTCTATGTTACCAGGCGAGCAACCACCAGATCTGGGACACCACTGGGAAAAGCTGTGGTTTAGATGTCTCCCAGAGTCCATATCTGCAACAACTACCCCCAAGTCCTACAATGATGCACTTCAGTGATGGAGCCTTTGGGAAGTGACCAGGATTTGATGAGGTCATGCAGATGGGCCTCCAACGTGGCAATGGTGGATTTTCAACAGAATGACATCAGCACTAATGGGCTGTCCTCCCCAGAGTCTGGAGTATGCCGCTGGAATTCCCAGCCTCCAGGACTCTAGGACCAAGACAAGGACCTTTACTGGATTCTGTGGTTACTAGAGAATGACTCAGGAGGGATGTCTGCTCAAGGAGCAACTTGTGTTCTCGGGGCAGACTGTGGCATTCACAGTGATAATAACACTGTTCCAGGGCCGAGTGGGGTCACAGGGACTGTGGTTTCCGTCCTGGTCCCAATACCAACAGCCTGTTCAAGTCAAACCCCGAAACTATGAACTGAGAGAACACCTCAAGGGAGAATCAGCCTGTGCCCACCACGAGGAAGCACCAGTACCCCAGAAGTCTCTCCACACTCCTTTCCAATTTCTGCTTGTACTTCGCATAGTTCCCTAAGGGAATTAATAACAAGCCTCCTAGCACTAAAAAACTAGTTTTGTGGGGCAAAATTTGACTGGCTCTTTACCTCAGTTTCCTTATCTGTAAAGTGGTAAGATATATACTCCACAAGTTTGTTGGGCAGTGAGATGCCAACAGGGCTAAATGTTCACGGCCTCATCTACTTCCCGGAAGAGCCAACCTGCTGGGGTAGGTACGGCCTACATCTTCCAGAGAGCAAGCAGTGTGCTTGAACGTGGAACGGAGTAGCTGTGTTTTGGGCCAGCTCTGCCTGATGTCTGCAAACCACATGCAGAAGTCTGCCAGAAGGAGCAGTCAAATTGCTGCCAGCCAGCCAGCACGCCTACCACACTTGGGAGCTGAACCAATGCCTTCTGAATGATCGCTATAGGCAGCTCAAACCAATGTTTTGATGTCTTGTACTGGCTAGTCATGTGCACTTTGCTCTGGTTGCTGAAATGACCTCAAAGGGTTTATAAAAAACAGCCAACTCTAAACTGCAGTGATCCGGGGCAGACTCTGGGAACCCTCCCACAGTGCTGCCCACCCCACCCCATGTGCTGAACCGGGGTCGTCCAGCTTCTGGCACCCATGTCTCCACGAGACCCCAGGGAGACAGAGGACACAGGCCTTCCTCAAAGACAAAGGAAAGGACTCCGTAGTACCTTGGTGATTACTGACGAACAGAGATGCTGGGAGCAGGGTGGCACAGCCTGGTGTCTCTGCAAGGCCCATGAGGCACAGGCTGCAAAAATCTGTTAAGGAAAGTCAGGTATGGACAGGGCCCTCCTCTGGGAGAAGAATGGTCATCAGTATCTTTCAGGAAATTATAAAATACAAAGGAGGGTGGAGAGTCCAGATACAACACTTTTACATCCAGGTTCAGTTTCTTCAGGAACATAATGTCACAGACAGCTAAAAACTTTTGGTTCCTTTCAGTCTGTTTCCTGTCTTCTACCAGAGAACTAGGGTTTTCAAAGCGAAGTGAGTTTGTTGAGGCCATGGTACAACATGTCTGCACATGTATTTGCCTGTGCATGTGATGAATTAAGTCTCAAGTTCAATGACAGCACACAGGCTTAAGAACTCATTAGTAGCCGGGCGGTGGTGGCGCACGCCTTTAATCCCAGCACTTGGGAGGCAGAGCCAGGCGGATCTCTGTGAGTTCGAGGCCAGCCTGGGCTACCAAGTGAGTCCCAGGAAAGGCGCAACGCTACACAGAGAAACCCTGTCTCGAAAAACAAAACAAAACAAAACAAAAAAAAAAAAAAAAAAAAAAAAAAAAGAACTCATTAGTTATGGACTGAACCAATGATAAGTGTCATGAACGTGTGTTAAACACATTTTACAAAGAAAGCCCAGGCCCCATCACAGTAGGCTACTGTGTTCCTAGAGAAGAGCCCCGTGGGCTTACTGAGAGGCCAGAAACCTGTGTTCTAAAGGCACAGGTCTGAGATTATAGTCTTGTGCTCAGGGTCAAAGTACTCCCCTCTGCCTTCCTCGGTGTTCCCCCAGTCTCTGCTTTCTCACGCCACCTCATGGCTGGCTACCTTGTTAGGGCTGTACTAATCCTTTTTACTTGACTCCTTCACCAAAGCACTGACTCCCCTGGCGGGGCTGATGGGTCAGTCTGGTGACCCAAGAGCCCGAGACTATAGTCATATATGACATATATGTCAGTGGTGGAGCAGGTAGGGTCTGGAGTCAGACTTCCTAGGGTCCAGTGCGGTCTCTAGCAGTTACACATCAAGTCCCAGCTGTCTGGCCCACAGCAACTTCATCACCATCCAGTAAACAGCCACCTCTGCACTTCAGTTGCTTATGGAGACTCCCTGCTATGGACCTGGTGTAGTCTGTGTCCAAAACGGGAGCCAAGGGTGCAGAACGGTCTACCCCTCTGCCATCTCCACAGATGCTTAGGTCCATGCCAGGGCGTGGTTATCCACTACACCTATTCACCTGCCAAAGGATACAGGATGTGGGAGTCCAAGTGACTGAGTGAGGCCCAGCACACAGAGTTCACCTGGAGAGGGAGTGGGACGAGAGAAAGATTAGGAACTGCCGCTCATGGGAACAATGGTCAATGCTTTTCTTCTAGAAAACAGCTTGTAGGGGCTGGAGAGATGGCTCAGCGCTTGCTGCTCTTACAGAGACCCTGAGTTTGGGTCCCAGCACCCGCACCAGTAATGCCAGCTCCAGGAGACCCAACAACCTCTCCTGGATGCACAGAGATACATGTGTACATGTATGTGCATGCATACGCACACACACCTTAAAATTAAAAAAGACTTATAGGGATACAGACACATGACCCTCCAGCCCACACAGTACTGAGACTAAACTCAAAGCTCTGAACATACTAGGCAAGCACTCTACCACTAAGTTACCCCTTAATATAGAGGTTCTCAACCTGTGGGCTGTGACCCCTTTGGGAGGGTTGTCAAGTGGCCCTTTCACAGGGATCGCATATCAGATATCCTGTATATTAGATATTTACGTTACGATTTTTAACAGCAGCAAAATTACAGTTATGAAATTATCATTGAAATAATTTTATGGTTGGGGGTCACCACAACATAAGGAAATGTATTAAAGGGTCGCAGCATTAGGAAGGTTGACATGTGACTTCTTTCTTTAGGTTTTCTCTTAAAACAGGTTGAACGAAGCATCCTGAGGGTAGTGGGGCTCTCTGCTCAGACACGTTGGGACCTAAGAGGTACAGGAAGGAAGCAAACTCCAGGCTTCAGTCCTTGCACACCAGCATGGGTCCCATGCTAAGGTATCTGGCACCCCACACCCCCAATCCAGTCCTGAGTTCTCTAACTTATGGGGCCAGGAGACAAGTGTACTCTTAACCAAAGGTGTGCCATGTCTTGCTTTACCCCACCAGGGTTTCTTTCCTTCCTTCCTTTCTCTGCCTCCTCCGAGACAGGAAAAAACACAGCTAGGTTCGCCCTGTAGCTCAGGCTAACCTCAGGCAAAGGGCAACTCTCCAGTCTCAGCCTTCTTGTATACTGAGATTCCAGCTCCACACCTGGCTCACCCCGATCTACCTTGTGGCTCATGTGCCCGCTGAGCAGGACATCACAGCCTCTTAGATGTAGTTTAAAGGCTGCTCTTGGTCAGCGAGCACCAGACATTTGTGATGCCCAGGGGCAGACTCCATCCAGGCTGTGACTACCGCAGCCCACACTCCAGGAACCACACCCCTTCACATCGATTCTGATCCTTTAAAAAAGAATGTCCTGATGGCCAGTGAGCACACGGCCTTGAGGCCGCCCCAACCACCTCAACTAAATTTCTCTCCTGACTTAAGATGCTCTGGGCCTTCCTTTTCCTGTGGGCTCTCAGGAACTAACAAGTCATCTGTCCCCAAGTGAGATAGCTCTTCCTGTATTCTTCACAAAGCTCTTTTCCCTTTCCCTGCTGAATTTAAGGAACTAAGCAGTGTCCTAGGCCCAAATCAAGTGTGCTGCAAGGCTGGAGAGGCAGGACAGGACATACCTTCCTGTTGGTGAAATACAGGTTTTCATGCATGTGCACCTTGAACGTGGGGGCCTTCAGACCCTGCAGGTTGATGATGCCGTACTTGGATCCTCCAATTTTGACATCATTCACTGTGAAGAGGCAGTCACTGCTAGTATCTGCCTGGAGGGAGACAGGCTGTAAGTGATCTCTCGGGCTGAGCCATGCGGCTGCCTAAGCTCCTCTCCATAAGGGAATATGGCAGGGTCCTAACTTAGCTCCTGCTCAATGTAGTGATTTCGAGCAAAGCTCAGAGTCTGCCCTGCCATTTCTGAGGCATGGATGAAGATGGTAAAGAGCGGTCATGGCCAGGAAGTCTGGTGTCTTTAGTGACTACCTCAGAACTGAGTTTGGGAGGATCTGAATGTTGGCCCAGAGAACTATACCATATGGCTACCATGAAAGCCATGGAGAACTCTGTGAGTTCTAGGCCAGCTGCATAGTGCGACCCTGCTGTATTTAATTTAAAAATACAACACAGTGCCTGTAATACCAACACTTAGGAAGCTAACTAAGGCAGGAAAACTGAGTTTGAGGTCAGCCTGGGGTACATAGTTCCCTTGTCTCAAAAAACACTCCCTAAACTTCCCCCAATAGAATTCCAGACAAAACATAACATTGTTATTTCAAACTAAATTTCCATATTTATCTTTTTTTTATATGTAACCATGTGCTTGTATACACACACACACACACACACACACACACACACACACACACACACACGTGAAATTCCCCCTACTCTACAAGCTTGAAGAGTTACGTGCCTGGATGAACCTACCAGTGGAGAATCAAATGTGGAAAACTGCCTTCCCAGTCCTCTGGCCATACAAGCCAGCCAGTCCCACGTGATGCTGGTGGCGGGAGACTGCTCTACCGAAGGCACGTGCACCAGCAGACTGCACAGTGTGCCAGGGAAGGGGCTGGAGGGACCCACCGCAGCGAATGATCTGCTGATTCAGATCCCACTGCCATCACAAGGGCTGCGGCAGTGGAGAATCTGGGCCTGACCCCAATACTCCTTTCATGGGTGGGCTCTGCTCGAGACCCGGGTGACCTCAAGGGTCACTCTGTGGCTGTGGCCTCCCATCCCGCTAGCCCATCACTACTTCCATGGCCTAGTCTCACTCTCCCAGGCTTCCCTTTGGCCTCCAGGAAGGAGGTGGCCTTCCTGGCAAGACATACACTCAGGAGGCCCATGGAGAGGGGCGGATCCTTCCTCTGCAGGGCACACGCTGGCTCCTTGACAATGTCCACAGGCTCTACTGGTGGGCCTTAATTTCCATCAAGCCCAGGTCTCAGTAAATAGAGACCTTCCACTTCCTACAAACGATGTGATGGAGGTCCATAGGGCCCTGCCACTGTGGGAACTATGGACACTGAGCAAAAAAAAAAAAACAAAACCCCCACTGTGCTGCAGCCGAGGGCACGTGGATGTGTACCACACTGTGCTAAAGCTGAGGGCACGTGGATGTGTGCCACACTGCTACAGCTGAGGGCACGTGGATGTGTACCACACTGTGCTGCAGCCGAGGGCACGTGGACGTGTACCACACTGTGTACCTTCAGCTGCACACGCCATGGCCAGGGAGAAGACCCAGGCTTTATGTTGTGGGACAGGACTGAAGAGTGAGTCACACACACACTCTTAAAACAGCAAAAACTCCCACCAAACCAAAGGACAGACACCTGTTTCCACAGTAATCAGCTTGTTAGCCAGGCGTGGTGAACACTAACAATGAGCCAGCAGTGGCAGCCACACCCGAGGACCCACAGACACGTGTCACTCACCAGGATGAAGTTGAACAGGTCACTTGTTAGAGCAGAAGGATCTGAGCTCTGAATCTCTACCTTTCTCCTCTCCATGCAGCTCACCCGAAGCTCATGGGATAAACTGAGGACGGAAACAGAAATAGAGGGAGGGAATGGACACCACAGTCTGATGCCGGGGTGCACGCTTCTAGAACCACCTCTGTGGGAAGATGACTTCTTCTGTTTGTTTTCCAGACAGGGCTTCTCTGTGGAACAGCCCTGGCTGTCCTGGAACTCACTCTGTAGACCAGGCTGGCCTCGAACTCACAGAGATTCACCTGCCTCTGACTCGCAAATGCTGGGATTAAAGGCATATGCTACCACCACTGCCCAGCTTTATTTATTTATTTATTTTTATTTTTTTTTTTTTGTTTTTTGTTTTTTTGTTTGTTTGTTTGTTTGTTTTTTTTTTTCAAGACAGGGTTTCTCTGTGTAGCTTTGCGCCTTTCCTGGAACTCACTTGGTAGTCCAGGCTGGCCTCGAACTCACAGAGATCCACCTGCCTCTGCCTCCCGAGTGCTGGGATTAAAGGCGTGCGCCACCACCGCTCGGCTATTTATTTTTAAAGATTTATTTATTTTATGTATATAGTGCTCTATCTGCATCTATACCTACATGCCAGAAGAGGGCATAAGATCTTATTACAGATGGTTGTGACCCACCATTTGGTTGCTGGGAATTAAACTTAGGACCTCTGGAAGAGCTGCCAGTGCTCTTAACCACTGAGCCATCTCTCCAGCCTAAGATGATTTTTTTTTTTCCTGAGACAGGGTTTTTCTGTGTAGCCCTGGCTGTCCTGGAACTCACTTTGTAGACCAGGCTGGTCTCAAACCAGAGGAGGATGATTTAGTTTAGAATCTCCAGGAGGTCATGTCTCAACTACTAAAGAAGGGAAACACCTGGGACTCTGCCTTTCCCCACACTCATCTATCTCCACATCAGTTCTCACAGAGAACGCTAAGGACGAATAAACCAAACCACTGGGCAGCCCTTCCCCAAATCCAAGATTAGACTCCAGAGGGATCAGACCCAGTCACCTAGTACAAACTTTCTCTTGGGATGACGAGGCTGTGCCTGAGAGATGAGCAAGCCGCTGAGGGGCACAGAGTGAACTAGAAGAGTCCAGGATGTGGCCCCCCACCTCACTGCCCCTTTCCTCTTCCAAAGCATGGCTTCCTTTCCAGCTCAAGCAGAAGAGCTCTTTCTGAGGAGACTCTTCCTTCTTAGAAAGGAAACATAGGAGACTGTGAGCCACTCCTGCGTGGCTGGCCTTCCCTGAAGCGCGCACTGGTCTCCCTCACATACATGTAGAGGAAGTAGAGTGTAGGGGTTAGGATCAGGGGCTGGAGTCCGACAGGTCCTGTTTTTACCTGCAGCAAGTCACTCCACTCTGAACCTCAATTTCCTCTTTAGAAAATGGGAGGAGTTATCAGCTTATCTTGCCAGGTCTAGTTAGATTCATAACAGCTGTCACAAAAATAATACAACTTTTGGAAATGCTGGGGGACTGAATCAGACACGTGAAGCAAGCATGACTGGATGCTGAGCTACATCCCTGGCCTCCCATCACAAGCATTCTGGTGAAGTGGAGTACATACACACTCACTTAATGCCACACGTGTCACCAGAAGGGGTCTCAGGAATGAAGTTACTGTGAGCATCACAGAGTCCCGACTAATTTCTATAAATCCCTTCTCCTCTCTTACTAGACCCTCAGGAGTCTCGATCCCTTGCTGAGGAGAGTAGCAGTTACTCAGAGCTGTTTAAGGTACAGCAGGCAGACCTGGCTGTGGAGGGAGGGTTTGTGTAATCGGTAAAACCAAGGTAGGGCTGGAGACTGAGCCCAGAATGGCCGGTTCAATTCCCACCAACTCACAACTGTCTGTAACTCCAGTCCCAGGGGATCTGCCTCCAGAGTTCTGGGATTAAAAGTTATGTGTCACCAGACCTGGCTTAAATAAAAAAGGAGCCATGCAGTGGTGGCATATTCCTTTTAAACCCAGCACTCAGGAGGCAGAGAGGCAGGCAGATCTCTGAGTTCAAGGCCAGCTTGGTCTACAGAGCTAGTTCCAGGATAGCCAGGGATACACAGAGAAACCTTGTCTTGAAAAACCAAAAAGATGTAGAAGGCAGCCAGCAAACTAAAGATCCTCAGCTCTGAAGACTTCTCACAGAGTAGCACAAGGTCTCATCTGACTAGATTTGTGGACTACAGAAATAAGGACAGGAAAGAACATTCAAGACAAACCAAGGCATTGTCTTACCGGCAATAACTGGCCGTGTTGAGAAAACCCAGCTGGTTTTTTCGTAGGATGGAAGATGCGTTAAATCCTATTCTGGTAATTTTCTAAGTTTATTTAAAAAAAGAAAAGGAAGATTCAGTGATGGTAGCCATGGTGGTACAGACCTGGAGTTCTAACATTGGGGAGGTGGATCCTGGACACCAGTGCAAAGCCATCCTTGGACACATAGTACTTTCAAGACCTTGCCCAAAAAAACAAAAACAAAAACAAAAACAAAAAGCCACTGGAGATTTATCTGTGCTGTGGTTTGGGTAACAGGAGGTCCCACAGGACACAATCAGAGAAACCGGTATTAAGTGGACAGAAATTCGATGGTGTCCTCTCCAAGTCTCCTCTCATTGGCGGGAAGGAAACCCAAGCACAAGGCAGTCCTGTGGGCTGTGCTGGAGAGTCAATGCCACACCTCCGTCTGGGCTCCTGGACAGGCAACAACAGGCTGGTGTGTGCAGAGCAAGGCCAGACGCCAAGGTCTATGTCAGCAGACAGAAACAGGGTAGGAGATGGGGTCCTTGCCTGCTCTTTTCATCATCCATGCCCGGGAAAATCTGACAGCACACTGCCATCCTCTCGCTGAGTGTCCCGGGGCGTCTGATGGGCCACCTGCTTTCAGCAGCAGAGGGTGCTGTCGGAGGAGAGGACACGGGGCAGCCGAGGGTGAGGCCCACCTTTTTCTGCTTGTCCTCTTGGTGCAGCAGCTGCAGCCTTCTGCTCTCCAGCTCCTTGTGCCGGATGCCCTCCTTTGTGAGGGGGTTGCAGTTGTTGTGACCAGGGAGTAAACGGAAGTAGCGGTTCTTTTCAGGGTCGAAATAAAAGCCCGGAAGATCTTTAAGAAAAAGAATTCAACTGACTAAATGAAAACACTGACCCACCTAATCGTCTGTGTGTCTTTTCTGCTGGTTCAGCGACAGTCACGGTCAGTTGCTGAGTTCTGTACTGGAGAGACCATCTCCTCCAGAATCATTCCCGACACCTGGCTCCTTCAGCAGATCCATTTGCTTTTAGAATTCCCTCAAGTCAAGAATGGACTCCCTCCGGGTGGTGGTGGCGCATGCCTTTAATCCCAGCACTTGGGAGGCAGAGCCAGGCGGATATCTGTGAGTTCAAGGCTAGCCTGGGCTACAGAGCGAGTTCCAGGACAGGCTCCAAAGCTACACAGAGAAACCTTGTCTTAAAAAACCGAAAAAGGCCTCCCAACCACCTCCCCCTCCCCCTCCCCCTACGAAGAGACACAGCCAAGTCCTGGCTGAGGAATGGCTGCCAGGACAGACACACTACCTGGTTTGAGGCAGGATGAGCTTTTTTAAAATCTTTCCTCCAGGCAAGCTAGGAGCCCTACCCATCTTCCTGCCTACCTGGTACGGACGATGTTCCAGCTCTGCTGGACGAGGTTGATGGGGCCTCAGCATCATGGTGGTCAGAATCTTGTGGGCTCTGCGATGTCTCTGTGGTGGACCTGTTGACACACAGTTGTGGCAGTGTGAGTGTGTGTGTTCACGAAGGGCAAAGGCCAGTCTTGGGTGTCCACACTTAGGCACTATCTGTCTTTTTGAGACAGGATCTCTCATTGGCCTAGACCTCACAAAATAGACGGGGCTGGCTGGTGAGCCCCAGGGCTATGTTTCCCTCTGCCTTCCTAGTATGGGGAGTGCAAGCACACGATGCCACACCTGGCTTTTAGATATGGGTTCCAGGGAATCAAACAAGGCCATCTCCCCAGCCAGTTCTCAGTCACTCTGACTGAAGGTCCTACACGAGCAGGTCTGTAGCCTTCACCTGACCTTTGTGATTATTTGGGGAGCACTAGCCCCTGTCTGCAAACACATCAAAACAAGGGCCAGCCCCTCTCTTTCTTCCCCCCTCTTCTCTCTCCCTCCCTCCCTTCCTAAGAGGACACCTGTCATAGGAATTCCTTAGTTTCTCACTTGGGCCTTTTGCATGTCGTGAGGTCTTTTGGAATTTTCCACGATGAAAAGAAAACCAGAAATCTTTGTCAATGAGGATATTACTAGCTGTGCTATCTGTTTAGCAGCATTTACAAAGCCAGATGAGTTTCATTCCTTATTGGCTTCAGCAGCAGAAGAGTTTCAATTTTATCTGGCTAGACAACCTTGCAGATGGAGAAACTGGGATTTAGGGAACAGAGGTAATTTCCTCCATATTAGGATGGGGGCATGGCTAACACACTGGATTTGTAAAGCCATCAGTGGCCTCGGTGGCAATTACACGCTGAAATATAGGGTGAGAATCCTGAGAGAATCCCTCTCCCCACACACAATAAAAGGAAATTTGCAAAGCTAGGCTGAGGGAAGCAAAGACCAGCCTGTGTCCCATCAATACTGACGCTATGCACAGCTGCAGGGAAAATTACTTTCTCTCCTTTTTCTGTCCAGAGCTTTCTGAGGCAGCCCATCTGTGATCAGCAGGAGGATGGATTAAGTGTCATGACAAATGATGGTCTTTCTCATCCAAGGACTGCTGCTCCATTTTTTCCACATAGAGCCCAGAAAGTGGCTGTGCCCAGCAGGTTTCCAAACCACTCTGCCAAAACTGGCGGCGAATCTCATAGATCACATCTTGCTACCCGTTCTGGCTTGTGGGGTAAGGCCTGGGGCCCAAAAAGTATCCATGGCTCTCCTAACAAAACATACCAACAATGGGTGTAGTGCTGATCTTTCTACAGTATGGGCCAAATTCGAGAATTATACCCAGTGAGCTCTCTACGTGCTGAGGACTCCCAGGGCCAGGCAGCCTATTAAGGGTTTTTATACGGTCAAGCCAGGGTGGTTTTATGGGACAGAGCCATTTTAGATGGGAAAGTAGACCTCCCAGAGTCATAGTTCTGTTCTTTCTCCCATAATCTTCAAAGGGTTTTGTTACTGTTTGTGTTAATTTATTCTGGAGAGTACCTTGATATTTGACATCATGACCCTGTGTTTAGAAATTGAAAAAAAAAAAAAAAAAGAATTGAAAATGTGTATGGGTGTGGGCAAGCATGCATGGGCAAGCATGCATGTGGAGGTCAACTCGAGGGAGTTGGTTCTTTCCTTCCACAATGGCAGCAAGAGTTCATACCCACTCAACTCCTGTCACCTCCAAATTTATCTGTTTTAAAAGGAGGACTGGGTTGGCCAGACAACTAAGTGGATGAAGGTGTTTGTGGTCAAGTCTGATGACCTGAGTTTGATTCCTGGGACTCACATGGTGAAGAAAAGAACTGATTCCCCAAGCTGTCCCCTCGCCGTCACATGTACGCCATGGCACGCAACCCCACCGCCCCAAAATGCATAAAAGGAGGACCGGCATGTGGAAGAATTTGCAACAGGCACATGTGCTGTAAAGAGGGGACAGCCTGTGAAGCCAAGGGAAGACTTCCTGTCAGAAGTCCTGGGAGTCCTCACCCAAGGCCAGGTGACGATGCGGGAGTGGGTGGTGAGGAGGAACTTGTCTGAAATGGGCATGCTTGTACTTCATGCAGGATAACAAACGTAATGTGATGTGGAAAATGTGTATACTGGGGATTTTAAGGACAGTCTAAGGTGGCTGGGCACACAGCAGTCACTGCTTTATTCTTTGTATACTTTTGTGTATAGTAAGACTTGGTGGGCTGGAGAGATGGCTCAGGGGTTAAGTGCTGTGGGATGTTCTGTATGGCAAATGTGTTGCTGATTAGTCAATAAATAAACCACTGATTGGCCAGTGGCTAGGCAGGAAGTGTAGGCGGGACAAGGAGGAGAATAAAGCTGGGAAGTGGAAGGCTGAGTCAGAGAGACACTGCCAGCCGCTATGATGAGAAACAGCATGTGAAGATGCCGGTAAGCCATGAGCCATGTGGCAAGATATAGATTAATGGAAATGGATTAATTTAAGCTGTAAGAACAGTTAGCAAGAAGCCTGCTGTGGCCATACAGTTTGTAACCAATATAAGTCTCTGTGTTTACTTGGTCGGATCTGAGCGGCTGTGGGACTGGCAGGTGAGAGAGATTTGTCCTGACTGTGGGCCAGGCAGGAAAACTTTAGCTACAGTTAAGAGCACTGGCTGCTCTTCCAAAGGTCCTGAATTCAATTCCCAGCAACCACATGGTGGCTCACAACTATCTGTAATGAGATCTGGTGCCCTCAACTGGCCTGCAGGCAGAACACTGTGTACATAAGTACATAAATAATTCTTAAAAAAACTTGGTATGCCGGGGGTGGGTGGGATGGTAGTGTGGGGGGATGACGACTGGCACATGCACTATGAGTTCAAGGACTACAAAGTGAGTTTCAGAACAGTCAGAGCTATGTAGAAACCCCCCACTCACACACCAAAAAAAAAAAAAAAAAATATATATATATATAGTCCACATAAAGATTTGCATATATTATGTAATTATGCTACATACTACATACATTTATATAAGCAACATATATGTTAAGTACATATTTTATAAGCCCTTTCCCAGGACTAACCTTAGATATTATTTCCAGAAAGATTTTTTTTTTTGCCCTTCCCAAGTCTCCAAATGGAAAAGCAGATCTCCATTTGTGTCAAAAAATTCTACCAGTAGCCTTATGGCTGGCACTCTGGTCAGAAGCCAGTCACCATGAAAGAGTGTGGCTGCCCTCACTCCCTGGAGCAGTGGGCTGATGGCAACATGTCAAGCTTTTGGGCCTACTGGCTCCACTGCCGACTCCTTCTGGGAGGCGAGTACATGTGTGGGCATTGTACTGGACAGCCAGGATGGCACTGGGCAAAGCTGGCCCCCAAACTTGTACACTTACCTCTCACTAGGGTCACCCTGACTGAAGGCGGGGTTCTGCTGGCGGCTTCGCCCGCGTCTTCTACTCTGCCAGGCGCTTCTACTCATTTCTGTTCCTGTGAGAGAAAAACAACATCAGACACCCAGCTGTGTGCTCTCCCACTTGCCCAGCAGCTCCACCATGCTGACGATGGCCACTGGTGAGCCCACCACTCAAGCCTTCCCCAAAGTCTGCTTCTGGCACTTTCCCAGTATCCCTTCCCACCACTACAGAGACGAGACGTGATCAGATGCGAACACCTCAACTCTGCACATCTTCTCCACACACACTTGTGTGAATTCTTTTTCATCCTCTCCCCAATCCTCCAGACAGGGTTTCTCTGTGTAGCCCTGGCTGTCCTGGAACTTGCTTTGTAGAATGTTCAGGCTGGCCTCGAACTCAGAGCCTGTACCACCAAGCCTGGCTTTGGGTGAATTCTTACTCTTGTCTTGGAGAAATTAATGTCTGTCTCTTGCCTTTCCAAGACACTCTCTCCACCTAGATGTCTACCTCATCTTCCCCTGGGGACATCACAGTTAGTTCATGTTTAATGGCTCCCTCTTATTCCTGCTGGTGCTCCCTCTCTACTGCAAAGGCGCAGAAACACTCCGGAAAAGTGATCTACAAATTCAATGTCTTCATCTCCCCACCCCCAGCATTCTGCTAAAATGCTCTTGCTGAGGTAGCAACTAGCGGTCCTTATGGTCAAAGCTGGGGAGCCTCACTTAGTCCCCATTCCTGCACTTGGCAGGTTGAGGCAGGGAGGTCACTAAGTTAGGGCCAGCCTAGGCTGCCTAGCGAGACTCTCAAAAGAACCCAGAAGGTATGAGAGCATGCATTGGTCTTGCAGAGGACTTGAGTTCGGTTCCCAGCACTGGTATCAGGTGGCTCATAACCGCTTGTTAACCCCAGCTCCAGGGGATCCAAGTGTTCTTCTGGCTCTGGAGGGCACCTGTACTCACATGCACACACCCTACCCTCACATACACATAATTTTAAAAAAAGGTGAGGGTTGGTAAATTGTTCAGTGGGTGGTAAAGATGCTCTTCACCAAATATGAGGAGAGTTTGAACCCAGGACCCAAATGGTGGCGTCAACTCCAAGTTGTCCTCTGACTACCACATGTACCCCCAGGGCCTTCTTCTTCCAGCACCAACTGCCCACAGTGCACAGACATACATGCAGGAAATACCCATACACACAAAATAAAAATAAATAAACCTTAAGGCCTGGTGGTACTCTTGTAACCCCCAGCATGGGAGGGTAAGCAAGAGGGTTGAACGTTCAAGGTTATCCTTTGGGTTATACAGGGAGATTGAGATTAGCCTGAGCTACCCAAGAAAAACAAAAACAAAAACAAAAACAAAAAAAAACCAAAACCCAGGACATGTTCAAGGATGAACAGTATACTTTTCTAAAATACAGGTTCACTCTCAAGACCCACACTGTGGTCTCCGTCTGCATTAATTTGTCTGTTTTAAGCTTTGCTTATACACTCCTGTCTCACGATTTGTGAATTCCTTTTTTTGTTTTGCTGCAGAGCTGGAGATCTCAGGGTCTTTGCGCACGCTAGGCAAGAGATCCCGTGTTACTGTTTCATTTCTTAGCACCCACTGACCTAGTTGGCTATGTGGAAATTACTGCTGAGCAAAAACCAAACCAAACCAAAAAAAATCCAAAACAATAACAAACCTGCTGCTCTTTACTCTTTATTCTGAAATAAATAAATAAATAAGCTCGGGCTGAATCCAGGGTCCGGGGCCTGACGACTATTGAGTTTTACTTCTCGCTCTCTTCACTTATGAGATACTCAAAAACAAAATGTGTATGGGTGGTTTGCCTACATGTATGTCTGTGCATCACTTGTGTGCCTGGTACCCAAGGAGGCCAGGAGAAGGGAGGGACTAGAGTTACAATTATAAGCCGCCATGTGGGTGCTGGGAATCAAAACAAGGTCCTCTGAAAATTAAAGCCAGTGTTTTAACCACTAAGCTTTCTCTCTAGCCCCGCCTTACTTCAAACCCTAGGTAGCTTCCTTCTGCTGGATGTTTTCCCTTAGTATTTTATATGTACAGAACACCCGATGTGCATCAGGCACTGGGAATTGGGCAGAGCCGTGCGGCGCCCCTCCCCTCTCCCCCGCCTCACGACACCACTCACATCCTAGCAGGAGAGCAAGGAATGATAGCCGTGTGTGTGTGTGTGTGTGTGTGTGTGTGTGTGTGTGTGTGTGTGTGTGTGTGTGTGTAACAGGACGGGACAGATGATGACACAGGAGGAGCACTTTGGTGCCTTCAGAGTCAAGTACAAGGGACTGCAGAAGAGACTGAGAGGCAGGCAGGTCAGGCTGAGGAGAGCTCCAGGCTTCATCACCCCTGTCAGAAAGGGAGCAAGAGAGGCCGGACACTGCGGCAGGGCAAACTCTCACAAACTAGAGGTGGCACTCAAGTGGAAAGAGGCGGGGCGGGACCTTCATGGACTGCAGAGGAACTGGGACTAGGAAGTGACTAACTGGAGGCATCGGGAGCCGGGACACCAAGGATGGAGGAGTGGAGCCCAAAAGCCTGATTTGGGATAACTGATCTCAGGAAGCCAACCTGGGCTTCATAGGAGACTAGCTCAAAAATATGAAAAGGGGCCGGGCGGTGGTGGCGCACGCCTTTAATCCCAGCACTCGGGAGGCAGAGCCAGGCGGATCTCTGTGAGTTCGAGGCCAGCCTAGGCTACAGCGTGAGTTCCAGGACAGGCTCCAAAGCTACACAGAGAAACTCTGTCTCGAAAACCAAAAAAAAAAAAGAAAAGAAAAGAAAAAAACAAAACAAAAATATGAAAGGGTGGTGGGGAAGCAAACTTGGGGGAGGGCCAGAACGCCACAATATAAGACTCTTTTATTTTGAAAGTAGGTAAAAATGGGGAAGAGACAGACTTGAAATAGACAGAATGCTACAGAGCTGGCTAGTTTCTAAGCTGACACTTCATTAGCGAAAGTGTAAAGTCTCTTCTTAGAGATTTATTCATTACGTGTGTGAATATGGGTGTACATGTGCCACAGCGTACGAGGTCAGAAGACAACTTTTGGGCATTAATTCTCTCCTTCCACTGGGCTCGGAGGGTGGAACTCAGCTACATAGGCTTGCAGGCCTGCAGAGCAAGCACTTTAACCTACTGAAATAGTCATTCTTATTCCTGCAAATATAAAACAGCTCCTTTATGAATTAAATGTATTTGAGTTAACTGGAATAGCAACTATTCACAACAAAAGACTTTACTAGGAAGCCTAAAAAACCAGCCCAATTTGCCTGTCCTAAAGATTTCATATACAAGTTATCCCAAAAATACAAGGCCTTCTGAATCTGGTTTTTTCCACTTAACATGTTTTCACCTAGTTCACTTTATTCCTGTTTTGTTTTCTCTCTTTATTTTATGTGTATGGGTGCTTTGCCTGTGCATGAGTGCCTATTGGCCAGGAGGCCAGAGGAGGGAGTCAGATTCCCTGGTACAGTAAACAGACAGTTGTGATCCACCACTTGCCCTTGGTTGGGAAGGATTAATTTAGACCCCATGATGTGTAGACCCCATGATGTGTACTGTTTTTTCATATTGCTATCAGGCAAAATTATCTCTTTGTGTTGAATTCTCACTGTGCATATGGCTCTGGAGCCACATTTAACTTGGTCTGTGTCACCACGCTCAATGGCTTTCAGATCTGTTCCTTTAGCTTTGGTTCCTCTCCACGCCCCTCAGAATACATACATACATACATACATACATACATAGACACACACACACACACACACACACACACACACACACTTGATCTACAGAGCAAGTTCCAGGCTAGCCAAGGCTATACAGAGAAACCATGTCACCAAAAACCAAAAACCAAAGCAAAACAAAAAACCCCCAACTACTTATGACAGCATTACCAATTATATTAAACATCAAATAGTTTGAAATCTACAATTTTTTTGGGGGGGGTCCTCTCTATACTAGCGTTGAACATGTGATTCTTCCTGCCTCAGCCCCTCACAAGCTATGTTTACAGATGTGCACCATCACACCTGGCTTGAAGTCCATAATCGTAAATTATGAAAAAGATCACACATCACCATGGAGGGTGTTTAAATACCCGGGAGTACAGTATTTTATAACCCATTATTTCCACTCACCAGAGTTCCCTTTAATTAATGCCACTTTCAGTAGCATTTCATTTGGAGATAACAGGCTACTATGAAGCTGCACAATTTAAGAATCTGGAGTCTAAGTCATTTTGAGATAAAAATGGAAATGAGGAGAAATAAGTGTGCTTAAAATTTACCCTTCCCCCATACAGTCTCCACTATCTGCTGATCCTTAGTTGCCAAGTGGGTTTCTGCCCTGTCCAGATACATCCGCAAAGCCAGACAGGGATCAGGAGTTCAAGGTCACCATTGGCTATATATCGAGGTCAAGGCCAGCCTGGCCCTAAAGTTTCCCCTATAACTCCGGAGATGCTGGGGTACAGGCCCACTATCAGGTTAACAGCCAACGTGTTCTTTATAATCTGGGGACCTGCTTAGGCTTCTGCACTCTCCACTGCCTGTGGCACCAGGAGGCCACCTCATTTTATTTTTTTTAAAGTTTTTAAAGATTTATTTATCATATATACAGTATTCTACATGCAGGAATGCCTGCAGGCCAGAAGAGGGCACCAGATCTCATTACAGATGGTTGTGAGCCACCACGTGGTTGCTGGGAGTTGAACTCAGGACCTCTGGAAGAGCAGGTAGCTCTCTTAACCCCTGAGCCATTTCTCCAGCTCCCTCATTTTATTTTTACAATGCTTTCCAAGGCTCAACTCCTTTGGCTCCCGACCTTTCCTTGCGGATGGTCCAGAAGTCAAGCAAACCCAGTCTGTTTGCAGTTGCTCAAGCCCCGCTTTACATCCAGAGCTTAGCAAAGGTCTGCTTGTTTCTTTCATTCTTTGGGAGGTTGGGTTTTTTTCCTGTTGTCAGGCAGTTTCCTACATATGAAGAGGTAAGGCTCTGTGTGTGGTCTGAGGATCCAACAGCCTACATTCAGCCTTTCCTGTCCTCCAGGACCTTCCAGGCCTGGCTCGATATTCCCCATGTTGTAGGTCCTAGCAAAAGGCCCGGGTTTACTGGGGCTCTGTACATGGCAGCAAGCACCAGCTAAGCAGCAGATCCCAGAGCCTGGGGCTGGGAGCTCTATGAGAGCAACAGCATGTATGGGTGGGTGGTACAGCGCTTCTGGGCTCTTTGCTACCCAAATATAGCCTGAGCACTTGGGGGACATCTTAGTTGGGGGTCCTGGGGCTACACCACTTTACCCCAACACATGGCTGGAAGACTTGGGGTTTGGGGATAATGATAAAAGTACTTGGCAATTAAATAGTTAACGGTGGCTGCACAACCTTGCAAATGTACTACGTAACAGCACGCTATTATGGCATTCAGTGAGGGCTGGGGAGACAGGAGGGTGAGCACCTGCCACTCATATGGGTTGGAACCCCCAGAACAAGGTTTCACGCCTACTGTAAGATGGAAGGTGGAGGCAGGAAACGCCTCATAAGTTCCAAGGTCAGCTAGCTCAATGAACTAAGAGGGAACAAGAGATCCTGGCTCAAAAAAGGTGACAAATGACATCTTAGGATGTCCTCTAACTTCCACACAACAACACTCAACTATACACACAAAAATTAAATACATAAATAAGGTGAGAAATAATGCAATCATAGGAAAATTCAGTAAGACTCTTGATTCCTAAGACACAGGAAGATGCAAAATGCTAATGCTGGTATAATCCAGCATAAAAAAAACAGTCCCTTCAATAAGGTTTCCAAGCCGGGCGGTGGTAGCACACGCCTTTAATCCCAGCACTTGGGAGGCAGAGCCAGGTGGATCTCTGTGAGTTCAAGGTCAGCCTGGGCTACAGAGAGAGTTCCAGGAAAAGTGCAAAGCTACACAGAGAAACCCTGTCTCAAAAAACCAAAAAAAAAAAAAAAAAAAAAGTTTCCACCCTCAGTAGTGTGGACCATGAGTGAACAAGGAGGGAAATGGGAAAATGCAGATGGCTCATTAGGAGTTCTGTCCAGCGTAAAACCTAAAATAAAGGGCTGGAGAGGTGGCTCTGTAGTTAAGAGCACTTGCTGCTCTTGTAGAGGGCACTGCCACACAAGCAGCATTCACTCCCACATGCCCCTAGCCTTATAAATTCCATCCCTGAAATCCACAGGAGAACCACCTCCACCAAGCTGCCCCGGACCTCCACATGCACACCTGCCCAAAAGCATCACACACAACAGTAAAATTAAACCCCACTTTACAACATGGAAACCGAGATATATAGAACTAACAATATCTATCTAACAAAGTCGCATTAAGGGTGCAAGAGGGGGTCCCCGTCACCTCTGGGCGCAATCATCCATGGCACAGCACCTCAACTAATTTCCACTGTTATTTACAACTCAATTTCCAGACATAGGGTGTTTGACTTCTCCAGGAAGCTGATTCATTAGTTTTTTTTCCCCCTCCTTCTTACTGCCCTGCTCCACACATAAGACGGTGTCTGTGGCTCTCAAAGGTATCCGGAAGGTTGTGCTTCCCAAAGTCACTAAGGAGACCACAAATGCACCCGGCTTGTGAAGAAATGGTGTGGAAGGACGGTCTTCCTCAATAATGCACAACATGGTGTGGCGGAGAATTGAGGCTGGTCCACACCAGGGCTTACTAACTCTTCCATATACCACCAGCCTGTCCAAAACCTCAGGCAAGCTACCACTTAGCCTCTCTACCGCTAGGGCTGGAGGGATGGCTCCGCGGTTAAGAACACTTGCAGCTCTTCAGAGAACCCTGGTTCAATACTCAGCACTCACACAGGAGCTCACGTCTGAATCTACAGCTCCAGGTGTCTGACACATTTGGTCTCTTCCATTTTCCACAGGCGTGTAAGTGCACACACCCACACACATAATAAAAAATAAAAATAAGCCGGGCAGTGGTGGCGCACGCCTTTAATCCCAGCACTCGGGAGGCAGAGCCAGGCGGATCTCTGTGAGTTCGAGGCCAGCCTGGGCTACCAAGTGAGTCCCAGGAAAGGCGCAAAGCTGCACAGAGAAACCCTGTCTCGAAAAAAACCAAAAAATAAATAAATAAATAAAAATAAGCCGGGCGGTGGTGGCGCACGCCTTTAATCCCAGCACTCGGGAGGCAGAGCCAGGCGGATCTCTGTGAGTTCGAGGCCAGCCTGGGCTACCAAGTGAGTCCCAGGAAAGGCGCAAAGCTGCACAGAGAAACCCTGTCTCGAAAAACCAAAAAAAAAAAAAAAAAAAAAAAGGTGTGTGTGTGTGTAGGCATGGCTCAGTGGTTAAGAGCACTGAGGACCCAGATTCGATTCCCAGCATCCCGCATGGCGGCTGCAACCATCCAGTTCCATGGGATCTGTCTGCCTTCTTCTGGCCGCCATGGACACCAGGCACGCGCGCGCGCACACACACACACACACACACACACACACACAAGCCAAATACCCATACACACAAAAATAAACACACACAAAAACCAAAACAAGAACCTCTTCCAAAATTCATACCAAAAAGTACTACTGGGCTGGTGCTCCATCACCGCCCGAATTTCAACGGAGGCGACAGCCCTGGGCCTGTGGGTCGGTCGCTACTAGGTGACCCTGGGGACCCCGCTGTACCCGCCAGGCCCGGGCCCACGCCCACTCCGGCTGTGTATCACTTGCTCATTCCTCCTGCCCTTAGCTCGGCCTTCCCCGACCTCTGCGTGGGTACAGCGACACCCGCCTTCGGCACCCAGGGGCGCTGGCAGGCATCGGAACACGCTTACCTGCACAAACGGTTCTCCCAACCGCAGCACAGGCCGGCTGGAGCACAGAGAAGCGTGCGAGGACCCGGAAAGACCATCCTGGTCAATGTTGTCGCAGCCCATAGGACTAAGGCGACAGGTCCTGCCTTCTCATTGGATAAGGGATCTGCCCGTCCATGCCAGTAGGGGCGGTCTTCTACAGAGGGCGGGACTTAGTACTTCCGCTCCGTGCTAGCCGGGCTTGACTGGGCCTGGTGCGTTCGGGGGCGGGGCCTGGTGCGCTTGGGGGCGGGGCTGGAGGTGGCTACCTGCGCCCGGGAATCCCAGGAACCCTCTTGGCCAACAGAGACTTCTCTTCTGCTGTAGACCGTACCCGGAGAAATTTCTTTCTGCTTGGGGCCGGTGCATAAGCCCAAGTTAGCATTGATATGTTGTGGGGAGAGATGATTGTATTGTGGAAAGAGCAAAGGAGACTCTGAGCGGGAAAGAGAAAAGAATTAGGGAGAGTCTTCGTGACCGCAGGTGCGGGAGGCTGCTGTGTGGGTGCCTTCCAATCTGTGTCTGATTGTTTCCTACTTGATATGTGATCTAGGGTGCGCACTTCTTCTCTGCGCCTTAATTTCTTCCACAGTAACAAGTAAATCGAGGAAATATTCTAATTCAATGATCTCCAGCCCGAAGTTTGTTTGTACAGGCAATATTTCCAGAATGATATCTGGCGTGCCTGTGCCAACCGACCACCCCAAGGAAGATGAAGTTTGTGATAGGTCAGAAGTGATAGTGTAAGGAGAGCTGGTTCAAATAGGCCAGGCTAGGTGGGCACCACCAACAGGACTGATCTTACTGTACTTGGGGCAAGAAAAGAATCCAAACGGACAGAATATGTAGCTGGAAGCCTGTTCCAGCTATTGGTTGGGCTGGCCGTGAGGAACTTGGAAGGTTTAGCAAGGTGGATGGATGGAGCTGGAGAACAGCCTCAGAGCCAGGGAAAGCATGCGAGGCTCCAGAGACTGGAACCTTGTTGAGTAAGAACTAAATCTGTGCTTAGGGGAAGTCTCTTGGGGGGAGCAGCCGTCGCTGTGAATGTAGTCAGAGAGGCTGCAGCTGGGATGGAGGGCGGGTGAATGGGAGACAAAATCCGGCCGAGAATCTCCGAGTTGAACTCTGCGGGGAGGAGGAAGACAGGATTCTATGCTAAGCCTTGAGGTCCCTGGAGGATTGAGGAGGGGGAGGTGACTGTGGGCTTGTGAAGTGCAGGGGGGCCAAAAGCCAGCCGGCTGGCACCACTGACAAGCTCCACTGGTTATCCACCACGGGAACCGGATAGACTTCAGTTTTGCCTTGGAAACCTGTAACGTGTACTCGATCTACAAAGGAAACTTGGAAGCAAGTCATACGACATCCCTGGTTCACTTTTCTCTCAGGTAAAGTGAGGACAGAATGTAATGCTGAAAAAGGAAGTCCTGGAGAGCCGATGCTATGACCCAGAATCAGGTGCTTGGTGTATGGCTTCCAGTGACTAAGCATCCTGTGTCACAAGTTTGACTTGGTGTCTAGATGGTGAATAATATTCAGACGTAATAACACACACACACCCCAAAACAAAAACCCATCCAGGGCCTGGAGACTTGGCTGAGTCGTTAAGAGCACTGGCTACTCTTCCAGATGACCTGGGTTCCCAGCACTCACATGGCAGCTCACAGCTTACCAAGCCTGGCAGAAAAGAACATATTCTAAAGAGACACCTGTGTCTCTCATTCTATCAAGCTGTTGAAACAATGGACCCCAAAGAAATGGGAATTTCCCTAGGAATCTCATGCTGGGAGAAAGAATAGGCACCACCAGACGAGGAGCTTATCTCCCGGAAGGAAATGTTACAGGGTAAGACGGAAGCCCAGACAGAAATGAGTCTGTAGCAAACACAGCTCTCGTCTTAAAGGAAACGAGAGATAGTTTATTCTGGAGTCATTGTGAGTGACCATGGCCTGGGAACACATTTAGGTGACCCCCAATTCCAGGTTTCAACGTGGAAGCGGTTTAATGAAGTTTGTATAGTTTTACAGAACAAAGAAAGTCAAAGCAAGTTACAGCAGAGAGGGAGATAGAGTGAGGTGGGTGGGGGAAGCCTTTCCGTAGAGCCAGGATGCTGAGCTTCTGGGTTGGTGGAGGAAGCCAATGGTTTGCTGAGTTAATAGATTCCAAAAGGTTTTTATCTATTAGTCACAGGGTGTTCGCTTTGATGCAGAGGCAGACAAGGCATGGCTGTTCCGGAGGGCTGGAACTAGCCCCAAGATAAGGCAGCCTCTGGACGTTCACCATTCCAATCTCCTCCACAGTACTGAAACGTACCAGCCAGTCAGTCTCTGCAGACACAGCTTCTTTTTAGGGCTTCTCATTCACAGGTCAATGATGGGCAGTATCACACCTCGGTGGGTTGCTTAGTGTACGTATCTTTGGCCCTCTGTTTAAACCTTGATCTCACTTCAGGACCCTGAAGACAGACTTGAGGAGTTTGCTCAACATATTTGTCGCTTTTTGCTATGTGCCACGTTGAATAGATCACCTTTTTCACTTTCCATTTTTATTTTATTATATTTTTACTTTTTATGTATGTATGTATGTATGTATTTATTTATTTATTTTAGTTTTTTGAGACAGGGTTTCTCTGTGTGGCTTTGGACCCTTTTCCTGGAACTCTGTAGCCCACCCAGGCTGGCCTTGAACTCACAGAGATCCGCTTGCCTCTGCCTCCTGAGTGCTGAGATCAAAGGCGTGCACCACCACCGCCCAGCGACTTTCCACTTTTAAATTGAACTCTTAATTGGCTTATTGAGGATAGGTGGATGGACCTGATTTGGGGTACAAACTGTAATCCGAAATTGGATGAATCATCTGTAACTCCAGTTCCTGGGGATCTGGCGCCCTCTACTGGCCCCCATGGGTACCAGGCGTGCAGATGGTGCACAGACAGAAACATCCGTAAAATAAAATATAAAGATAAAAGTTAATTTCCAGAATCTGAAACCAATGCGAACTTTTCTTTGAAATTCTAGCTAGAATAAGTCAGTATTAAATATTGCCACATCAAAAATACCCTGGGGCTGGGAAGATGGCTCGATCTGGAAAGTGCTTGCTGTCCAAGGATGAGAACCCACGTAAAATGCTAGGTGCGGTGGTGTTGGAGTGGAATCCCAGCACCAGGGAGGCAGAGTATGAAGATCTCCGGGGCTTGCTGGCCAGCCAGACTAACCAAAGATGTCAAGTCCCGGGTCCAGTAGGACACTGAGCCTCAAAAACAAAACAAAACAAAACAAGATAGGTGGCTCCTGAGGCCTAAAACCAAAGTTGACCTTTGGCCTCCATTCGCCTGTGATACAGGTTAGGGGCCTTGGCTGGGTTTACATTTGCTGCCAGTTAAAGAATTAAAAGGCAGGGGAAAAGAGCAGCAGGAAGCGGAAGAAAGATCTCGACATGCAGCCTACAACAGGCAGAACCAGGAGTTGAAGAAAGGTTCCCTCACTTTGGGAATGAGAGAACACACAAAGGCAGCAGACACACAGTAAAAGACCCTCTTCAAAGCAGAGGGGAAGACTCAGGAAGCCGGAAAATCTAGTCTCTTCTTGAGGGCTGAGGGTTTTTTTTTTCTCCCTTTCCTAATTTAATTGGTCAGTTTGAAGAAAGATAAGATGGTTGATTGGTCCACAACTGTTTGTAACATGTCCTGATCAGGCCTCGAACTGGTTGAGCCAGTCCATCAGCGGGGAGTTAGGAGGAGGGGGCGCTTGCTGGTGGGAGGAAGAAAGCCCTGGCATTGCATAAAGCCACTGGGTCCTTGGAGGCCTGATGTCCCCGACAGTGGATTATGACTACTTCTGCAGGGAGCTGGAGGGCCTCCAAGAGCTTGGCTCTGAGGGGTCCATTGACAATGGAAGTGCCCTTGGTAGTGAGGAAGCCCCTTTCCCTCCAAAGGACAGAATGGGCATATTTAGAGTCAATGTAGATGTTAGCCCAATTCAGCCTTTTGTGAAGAGGTTTCTGTTAGTTTTTTGTGGTGCAATGTTATTCATTAAGTGGCTCTGTTTACCATGAGAGAAAAGCCATGAGGTAGGACAAAACCCACTTTAAGAGTTTATTAGGAGAAAGAACAGAGGGGAATGTGCTTTAGGCCTATGGACGGTTGTGCATGGAGAGAGAGGAAGAAGGAGAAGAAGGTGGGGGAGGGGTCTGTGACTTGCTTTTTATGGATTCCCCTACACGTGCATGTATGGGCTCACATAGCTACGCCACGCATGCGCATAGATTGTGTGATCATGCAGTGCGTGGGATTATGTAGGACATAAGGCCCCTTGCTTGGTTACTGAGCAGCAGATGTACGGCCATGTAGCAACAGTCTCCACTGGCAGGCGGGTTGCTTCAACTCTTTTAGTAGAAGTGACCACTGCATAAAGCTGCCTGGTGGTTTCCTGATCTCTCTATAAGAGAGCTTCCATCCACAAAGAGCATGAGTTGGGGGTCTAGGAGACCAGGCTGGGGTGAGCATAAGGCCTCCACAGCTTCAGGGCAGGAGTGAGAAGAGGTATCAGAGGAGGAAGGGACAGGAAGGAAGGTTGAGGGTTCAGGGCAGGGTTGGGGGCCAAGGTAATTTGGGGGTTTTTTAGAAACAGTAAATGAAAGACCTGGACCCATGAGGGGCCCACGGAAGAAGAGAAAAGAGTGACTCAGGAGGTCTGAGAGGCGGTGGGTGGAGTATGCAGTGATTGGCTGAAACAGAGTGATCTTGAGGGCCTCCTGGTGAATTCAGCTGCTGCTGCTAGGGCTCTCAGACATGGCTGCCACCCACACACAGTGGGGTATTGCACAAATCCTAATTGGTCTTAATAAAAACTCAGAGCCAGATATCAGGGTGAAAGCTGAAAGATCAGAGAAACAGAGCAAGCCACAGTCACCACTTCTTATCTCTCCAACTCCTCAGCCTGAAAGCGCGTGAGTTCCTGTCTCCTCCCGCCTTGTATTCCTTTCTCTGCCCAGACATATCTCCTGTTTCAATCTTGCTAATGCTGGGATTAAAGGTGTGTGATCCCAAGCGCTGGAATTAAAGGTACACGCCACCACTTTTAGACTGGAT